AGGTGAGCGGTTAGGAGCCAGCAGTCCCGGATTGCGAGAGGGATGTCCGACTGCCGGTTTAGGCTCGATCCCTGTAAACCGGCAGTAGGACATCCTTCGAGGGGTCCCAGATTGGAGAGGGTGCAGGCCAGGCTGAGGAACAACCCCTCCCCCATGCACGAATTTTGTGCACCGGGCCACAAGTCTATATATATAAAAGGCTAATGTGCTGTGTCCCTCCAACTGTCCAACCAATTGCTATGATGCACACTGACCACCAGGGGACAGAAGCTCAATGCAGGAGCTGCCATGACGTGCACTGGCCAGCACCATGAACCTGGTGCCCACAAACCAACACCCAGCTTCACCCAAGTGGGACACAGGCTCTGCCACCACCCCAGAGCAACACCTTACCAAATTGCAGCCAATGCTGCCAAGACCACATGGCGCAAAATGCGGCCTACAGCCCAGCCCAGCCCAGCCCAGAAATGGTCGCTGTGGGTGCCGGGTGACGACATCATGTAGCAACGCCTGGCTTCCTCTTCCTAGTGACTAGCCTCCTTCGAGTTTCTTCAGCCCACGAACACGACTTGCTTTACAGCCAGGTACAAACATTTTACACTTTAACCAAATGTCTGTGAAACATTTTCACATGCCTCATCTCATTTGATCCTTACAGAAGTCCTGGAGTAGGTAGATAGGAGACTCGGTAGAATCCTATTTTCTTTTTATTAGCCAGAAAATGGAGATTTAGAAAGTTTAGAAATTTGACCTGACTGAAAAGACATAATGGTGGAACTTGAAAATGACTTCAGGTTTTCTCACTACGCAGAATAGTCAAACACTGCTGCAGGTAACATTTTACCCTTTGTTCTCCCTGCGTGATCGTGATCTACAATAATAATCTGCTCCGTGTTGATATTTACTGCGTTGCTGACAACAATTACCTGAAAGAGAAGTTGGGGTGCTTCACTGGGCTAGAAAAGCTAAATCAGAAAGCAGGTCTAATTAAGCAAGTTTTTTTCTATGTGTGTGTGTGTGTGTGTGTGTGTGTGTGTATACATATATAAAAGGTTAAGCTCTTGCTGGTTCCAATTACACGCGTGTGTTTCGATCTGTCATTGTTGATCGTGAATTTGGTTGACACTTCTATTATAGAGAAAGGGCGAATAGTGATATTAAAATATTTCTTCTAATTAATTTCCTTTCAATGTGCATGAATCCGTGCACTGGGCCTCTAGTATACATATAATGAAAGAACAGACACAGAAATGGCATGACAGAATATATATGGTTTACAAGAGGCATTTTCACATGTTACCTCATGGAATTTTTTGTCTTTAAATATTCTACTGTATTATTCATTATTACATTCTACATTGAGATTCCCATTGTTTATTTAAACAATCCTACATTGATCACATTTGGTTAATCTCCAGGTTTTGGCTATTGCACATAATACTGTGAAAAACATGTCTGTGTATATTGATGTTCACTTCCTGATTGTGATGTTGTTGCTTCAAATACACACACTTAAACCTATTACCAAAATAAAATGCCCTCCAGAGGGGTAGTTCTACTTTACATTCCTACACATTGCGAATTATCACACAAAACAAGTTTGCCAGCTAAATAAAATAATGATTTCATATATGTTTTAATGTGCATTTCTGAACACCAGTAAGTATGAATTTCTTCCAAGTGTTTACTGGCTTTTTGATGCCTGGGGTATGTGATATCCTGTTGTCTACTTGTGGTTTTTGGACTATTTTTTTAAAAGAATCATTGATTTTCAAATAGTTTTAAGTTTTATAGAAAAGCTGGGAAGAGAGCATAGTTCCCATATACCTTGCACCAAGTTTCCCCTATTATTAACATCTTGTATTAGTATGGTCACAATTAAAAACCAATATTAATATTTATTAGCTGAAGTTCATACTTTACTCAGATTTCTTTAGTTTTTACCTAGTATCCTTTTTTTCTGTCCAGGGATCCCATTGAGAATTGCATTAACTGTTTCTTGCCTCCTTAGCTATTCCAGGGATCCCATTGAGAATTGCATTAACTGTTTCTTGTCTCCTTAGCTATTCTTTTTTTTTTTTTTTTAAAATCTTTATTGTTGAAAGTATTACATATATCCCCTTTTTCTTTAGCTCTTCTTGGCCGTAACAGTTTCTCAGAGTTTTCTTGGGAAATGACCTTTGACAGCTTAAAGGAGTATTGGTCAAGTTAATTGTAGGAGGCCCCTCTACTGGAATTTGTCTGATGTATGGGTTTTGGGGAGGAAGACCACAGAAGTCAAGCACTGCTTCACTGTAGTATATCAAGGACATGTGCTATCAACATGACTTATCCCTCTTGATGTTAACCTTGACCACCAGGCTGAGGTAGTGCTTGTTGGATTTGCCACAGCAGAGCTACTCCCCCGCCCCCTCTTCCATGCTGTACTCTTCAGAAGGAAGTCACTATGCACAGGCCACACTTCAGTGGGGAGCTATGCTCCACCTTGAGGGTGCAGTATCTACATAAATTATTTGGAATTCTTCTGCACTGGAGATTTGTCTATATTCCCCTCGTGATTTATTCATTCAATGATTTATTTGTATCACTATGAACTCATGTGTTTATTTTACACTTGGTTTCTATTCCAGTAATACTTTATTTTGTTGCTCAAAGCTTTGAACATTGTGAGATTTTTAGCTGGTTCCTATGCCCCTCTGACACAGCTCTATAAATGTGAGGGTTGTTTTTGTTTTGTTTTGTTTTGTTTTTTAAGCAATTTGTTACTTTCTGGCACTACATGATGTACCAGGCTCCTACTGTGTACTTCCTGCCTCACTCCTAGAATCAGCTATTTCTCCAAGAGGCCGCAGTTTCTTTTATTGGAAGATGGTATTTCAGACCAAGATCTGGGTGCTTGATATGCTCACTATTAGTGGAGCATAGTTGATTCTAGGCCCTTCTCTGTCTATCTTACATGTTAACCAACGTTTTCCTAGGTTACTGTATCTTTTGATTTTGTTTATGAGGTTTCCTGAAGTACAATTGTATCATGTTTGCTAGGGCTGCCATAATAAAATACCAAGGTTGATATTTATTTCCTCATAATTCTGGAGGCTAGAAGTCCAAGATCAAGGTGCTGGTTTCTTCTGAGGCCTCTCTCCTTGGACTGCAAATGGCTGTTTTCTCACTGTGTCCTCACATGGTCATCTCTTGGTCTCTCTGTGTGTCCAAATCTCTTCCTCTTGTAAGAATACCAGTCATATTGAATTAAGGTCCACTCTAAGGACCTAATTTTAACTTAATTGCTCCTTTAAATAACTTACCTCTATTCACATTCTGACGTATTGAGGATTAGGAGTTTAACATGAATTTGGGGGGACAGGGACGCACAATTCAGCCCATAACACATATTGCATACTTATAACTTTTATATGAAATAAGTGTTTGCATTTATATTAAACTAGAGGCCCAGTGCACGAATTCATGCATGGGTGGGTCCCTTGGCCTGGGGGAGGTTGGCTGGCCGGCCAGGGAGGGAGGGGGGGTGTGGAAGGTTGACTGTGGGAGCGCACTGACCCCAGGGGGCAGCTCCTGCGTTGAGCATCTGCCCCCTGGTGGTCAGTGAGCGTCATAGCGACTGGTCGACTGGCCGTTCTGGTCATTCCAGTCATTCGGTCATAAGGGTCGCTT